CTCTGGTACTGTTCATAATTTCCTTCAGATTCGAATTATGGCATTGTTACTGTGATTGAAGATGTGATTTAAGGAAATTATTGAAGAAAGTTTGTGTTGTTTTCAGAACGAAAGCCAAGGAATCTCCATTTTATGGTATTCAGAGAATGTGTGGGTATTATTCATACCAATAGAAATAATATGTGTGAAAATTTGAACTTGGTACTCAGCAGCAAGCAATCACAAAATGATTTTCAACCATTATGTGATTGCTTGCTGCTACCGAATGTACGGGGTCGTTGAGCAAATATCTGGGGTACAGGGCCCCAATTTGAATAATGATATCTGTTTACTTCATTTTCAATTTTCTCTAAAACTATAAACATGTTCTATTGACAGTTTTACCATGCTCATTATGACCATGTTTTTGACTTTTCCTTCTCCACGTGAGTACCAATTTGTTTTACTTAATATACCTAAGTACTTGCTGTTTCGTTGTTCTTTGTACAATATTTTCTTCTGGCTGATGATGGATACCTTTTTGGTAGGAAACATGTCCTCTCCTTCTTGAATCTGAAGTTAAACGTTGTGGAGACGACATGGAGAGTTTTTATTATATTTTAAGGGAATAAATAGTAGGTTTCAAAATCAAATATTTTTTCCGTGTATAATATACAATTTTTTTTCTGTGACAGAAAAAATGACGATTTAATACTGAGAAGATATTACTTTATACCAAAATCAGAGAATTATCGACGTGATCGTTATCATTCTTTTGAAGTAATCAAATATCTGTCAGTCTGATTCTGTGATTTGATTTTCGAAAACTGCGAACTTAGTTGTTGTTTAGTGAATAACGTAACCGAGAATTGAAATGAAAGATAAAAAGACTTGTAGTTCTGTCTCGGAGACAGAGGCTTATTTTTCGGAAATAGCACAACAAAATAGTACTCACTTTTTTCCGTGGGAGAAAAGTAATTTATGAAAATTGCCTTTTCATAACTTGTCAACAGAGATGAAATGTCAAACTTTTTTCTAAAATTTTTTCCTATACCTGCAAAATTTGTATAAGGCATTTAGGGCTAAATCTTCATATTTTGGTTTTTACCATATGCAGTTCAGAGATTGTCCATTTTTTATGAATCACCCTGAATACTCTTTCAGGTCGCGTGCACGATGACCTTCTCTGGAGATAAAACATTGAAACCTCACTTATATGAAAAACATTGTAAAACAACCTCACTTCTCCTATTTGATTACAATGGAATCAGATTGAAATAGTTTTCCACAATATTTTTGCATACGAATCGTGTTTTTCTGGGATAATCATTGATTCAAGCATGCCATCAAATTCTGCTGTTGTTGTTGATAAGATTTTTTCTCTACGACTATCGTATTCTACATTGATTACATATAGGTTAGTAATTGATGAATGAAGATGATTCCAAGACACCGTGGATCCCAACTCATTATTCAACGGCACTCGACCAATCACAGATTCAGAATTTTCAGGATCCACAGCAACTGAAAAGGTTAGACTAATGAAAAACCAGCAAGTCTACCAAACAAATTTCTCAAGGAGGCTCTGCTTCATTTTACGGGTCACGTCACGGCTTGACTTTCGCGAATGTCAGATTGACTTATAGAGTCTTTTAAGTTTTATTTAACTTTGATATCTGGAGGATATAATGGAGGCTTGCCGTTCCATAGAAATGTACTTTATGAATATTGGAGATATTCAAGATCTTGGATCTGCATGGATGATAACTATTCCTGAGACCAAAACTAAAATTGTAAGGAGGTTCACTGTAACCGGAAAATTTTATCAATTTTGTAAAAAGTACATTGATATACGAGCAACAAATGTTGTGATTTCCAATTTTTTCATGAATTACCAAGAAGGAAAATGTACTCTTTAGAAAATTGGAATTAATAAGTTTGCAGCAATGGGAAAACAAATAGTTACATTTTGGAAGCTACCAAATCCCGAGATGTACGCATTGCTTTGCTTGTCAATGCAGGTGGAGGTATAACAGCATTGAAAAGACATGGTGGCTGGAAGAGCACATCGGTGGCAGAAGGATTTCTAGAAGATTCCATGTTGAATAAAAAAAAAACGGCAGATTCGAATTCTTCAATGAATCGAATAATGTTCATCATCATCAAATAACAGTTCCTTCACACAAAAAACATCAACTAGCAATATGAATAAAAATGTCAGTGTTGATTTAAATGCAACACCGACATTAAATTTCACGAATTGTGAGAATATCACTAAAAATTTAGTCACTAAGTACGAGAAACATAATTTACTGACCTAATAATTATTGTGTTGTTTTATCATTGAGTTCTTTGAATATTAAAGATTCCTGTCAATTGTATTATAATATCATTAAAATTCATACATCAAGTATATTATTTTCTCTACGACTATCGTATAGTCGTAGAGAAAGTATAGTCTTCTACTCGCGTATAATAGCTAATATTCTCTCGGATATGTAAGTGACTATAGTACTTTTAGATCACAATCTACATACCTACCTGAAAAATCGAATTCCTTGGTCTCTCGCTGCATTTTTTGTGCATTGTACTACAGCACAATATAAATGGAATGCTTAAATCAATGAATACCCGAAAAACACGATTCGTATTCCAAAATAATTGTTAATAACTATTTCAATTCTTTGTAAACAAACAAGAAACGTGAGGTTGTGTTTCAATGTTTTACCTATAGAGGGTCGCTCATCTGACAGATCTTGCTCGCAACCCATACCTCCTCTTTCCTTATGCGCTCCTCATTTTCAGCTATTTCAGCGGCGCTATCGGCATCCAGTCTTTTCAGTTCCGCTAGATGCGCTCTTCTGACATCTGTCTGGGTGACGTATCTTCCAACCGTCGCCGCAATTTGCTTCCAGATGGCGTCACTCACGTCTTCGCGCGTTTTGCCCAGGTTGTCAAGCCTGGTCTGAAACTGTAACATCTTTGCTGTGATGATGCATACGACGGCGTATTATAGTGTTGAGGGTGCCACCATTTTTTGATCTGATTCCAAGGGAATCTCAACATTTTGATTTTTTCTCAAAATCTACAGATTTTCTCTCAAAGTTCCGTGATTTTCCTGTTTTACCATCCGAGAGTAGGTACTAGATATAATTGACTGGCCGGACAGATTTTCTTGCAAACTTTCGAGTAATGATTTTTATGGGTTTTCACCATGTCCTAGAGTCTAGGCCATTTGGCGATACGTCCACGATACGTCGAATAAATGGTGACGTAAATTTTTATGTTGTGTCGTTATTGGTCAGATAATCTTCCATCTTCACTCATGAAGCAAGGTTGTCAAGCCACCAATTATAATCAAGTTATCAAAGAGATTTCATCAGAGTCCTGTCGTTAAATAAAACATAATAGGAGGAACACATGATATTTTAGTTAATTTTTCACTTTTTCTGGCAACCAGCATGTCCAAATATTGCTTATTCTTCATAACTAAGTATCATGTAAATGTTGGAGACTTGGCAACTTTGCACTGAATGCTGAGAACTGACAAGACCACGCCCACAAGTCGTACGCCGTGTAGTCACGTTCACCTCTAGTGTGAATTAATATTACACAAATTTTTTACAAGCAATTCGCCACAAATCATAATGGAACATTTTGAGACAATTTTGAATGTTTATTGCTAATTAGGAATATTTCCAATATTCAATTGAAAAATTTATGATGGAATCGGAAGGTATATGAGTGATGATTCTATTTAAGGAATAAAAAAAAATAGTCCACTCGCCAATGATCAATTTGTGCTCGTATCCAGCGGCGTCACCAATCAAATTTGTATTTTCATTGAATTTTGATGATTTCGAATGATTAGTAAATTCATGCCAATTGTTTTTTTTTCAAATTGGAATACTGTTCTTGTGATTACAAAAATGGAGGGTTGAAAAAATTATGACAGTGCTTGTGCACGCCACGATTGTATGCAAACTTCAATAGTATATTATATAACAAGAGTTGTAAAACCCATATTATGCACGGACTGAAGAGAGTTACACACGATACCGCGCGTAGCGGTGGGTGTGTAACTCCACAAGTGCGTAATTGCTTTACAACTCGAGAAATAAATGTACTATACTTCTTCTATACGACCACACTATACTTCCTTCAGGATAGTACAGATATTGTGTTAATACACAAATATCGAATGCTAATTGGGTGGGAATGGAGTGAACAAATGACTTGTGACAAAAATGAAAAATGACGTATGACGTATGATGCATGCATTACGCATGCTTAGCCAACTCTTCCACTTCTCTTTTTCAGGTTTAAGCTCAGTATCACTAGTGTAGTCCGAAGGAATTCATGTTGAGATTTTCGCATCGGCATATCTTCCTCAGGTCTACAAAAATTCTACAGATTCAAAGGAAAAACACAGTTTTCGATTACTATTCTAGTTCCACTACTTTTACTTCAGTTTTACGCTATCGATACTATCGCTACACACTATCGATGGTTTTCGATAGTCAGAACTGAGTCAGAACTATCGGATATATCGATAGTTGCAATCGATGTTTCGACATTTGGTGGCTCTTATACTGCTGAGTGAGACACAAAAAACACGTTATGGGCTCCCGATCTATAATGTTCTGAGGAATGAGAATTGATACATTCAGATGTTTTCAGCAAGAAATCACACGATTCTTCAATAATCGCATGACATTCAGAAACGATCATTATCCGTTACACAATCAGCAAATAACATATTTCCGGAAACTGGAGAATTCAAGACCATGTGATCGATGGACAAATTAATTCTCTATTCATCTCTTATTGTGATCCAATTAGTCATTGTTTATCTGTGTTAATTCAGCATGTATCCTATTATTATTTGAATAGGAATTCAATAATAATAATTCTGATTCAAACCTTATAAAGAGATGTTTCCATAAACTTTCATTAGTCTTCTTTCAGTCTCATTTGGTGCATACAGTTTGTCAGGTGAAATATTCAATTTTGAGACTATTATGAGAAGTTTTATTATAATATTCGTATCATGTTATGTGGTTCATTCAAAGGTAAATATCATATTTGTGAATATTTTCCATGCATGGTATAGATAGAATAGATTCATGACATAGTTTTGCAAACAAACATCATCAGAATCAAGATCATGACAGATCTAACTAATGAAACTAAGTCGAGTAATTTTCAAGATCAACTGGATATTCTTCGATATTCAATTTGAAATGAGGATGTTTGGGAACAAAGTATATCTTGTTTCAGGCTATCGAATGTGGTATTGGCAAATCTAACAGAGATGAAATTAGACAAGCACTTGAAACGTGTGTCAAAAACAACGACACCCTGAACAAGATCTGGGAAATGACGATGTCATCTTCCCAATCAATGCCTTCTGGTGTGGAAAAGGAATCAGACTCGACGGAAGAAGAAAAAGGCAAACCAATCTCTGGAACCAATGCAAAAAGTAAGAAACAACACAATGTCCTTGGGACTTCTCTAGTTGGTGCAATTCCTGCTGTTTCTGCACTCAATGTACATGTGTCCTTTCTCGCATGTGTTAAACAGCGCTAAGTATACACTCAGTGGAGAAACACTCCACCATTTCCTGCCAATGAAATTCACTACAAGTCGTCCCATTCAGTACATTTTTCATCACTTCTCGAAATACTTATATATATATACTTATCTATGGTTCATAACGAGCCACATAAAACGAAGAAATCGATTCATTCTCATATTTCCAGTACATATTTTCATGCACCCTGATTATTTTGGATTGTTTAATGTTCACCGCACTAATTCTGTTAGAGTAAGAGGTTGTGTTTATTGGTTACTGAGCCAGACCAAACGGCAATTCACTTACCGTTTCTTATTATGTCCTGCATACTGCATACAAACAAGTTCTTTTCGTCAACTATTATTATTTATTGCAGACTCAAGAAACGGTAGAGGAAGTAGAATTAAAAGAGCTAAATCAGGCAAGTCCTTCAGTAACCAACAATCAACTACAATGAGGAGTAACAACAATAAGAATAAGATGAACGATTCTGACGAAGATGAATCAAATAACGGCAGCAATGATTTGTCTGAAGAAACAGCGAACAGCAGCCAAAGTGCATCGGAAAAATGCATCGTTCACTGTGTTCTAGAACAACTGAGCATGGTAAGATTCCTTCAAATATATTTTGCCTTTATAACACCGATCACACTAATCTATTTCACCCATTCAACGCCTCGACACGACACGTATTCCGCTTCTATACTGAAATCAGGATTCTGATACGAAATAAGAAATACAAAAAGGTTTCAGTTTGTTTTCGTTCTTGATTCCAAAGTTACAACACTCATCTTTGTTTTTCTCATGGGCGCCATATTGGATTTTTGTATTTTTGAAAAGTCTTTTTTTTTTCTGATTACAAAAAACATTTTTACGAATAATGCTTTGGAAGGAACGCCAACATTTTTGTTTAACAAGCTTAATTTAGACAGTTCAATTGAAAATGCGAACAGAACTGTTGAATTCTTAAGCTTATCCACATAACGCAAGAAGGGCTGTCTGTCATATATGTTCCAGCGCGGTCACCTGATCTCTCTCCGCTGGATTATTATCTATTGGGAACTATGAAATATTTGATTTTCGAAACTGTATCGATCGATATTGATGAGCTGAAAAGAACCATAATCACCACTTTCAGGAGTGAGATAAGAAGACGGTACAAGACGGTACATCTCGCGAGCAATTCTGAATCTGATCTGTTGAATTGTTTTTAGAAGTGGAAGGTGGAGTATTCAAGAATCTTTTATAACTTTGTTCTGTTTTGTTTTGCGGAGAATAAACTTCTAACCCATTACGTCGTTCTTAATTCAAAACCAAAAATGCAAAAATCCAATATGGCACTCATAGGAAAAAAAACAAAGTTGTGTGTTGTAACTCTGGAATCAAAATGCGCAACTTTGCTGTATTTTAACCGACCTCGTAACTCTTATAAAAACTGAGATCTCCATGGTGGAGCTAGAAAAACGGACACCCTGTATATACTAAATGAAAGATGAGATGAATTCACACGAAGGAGCACGAAAAAAGTCCTAGCAATATTTTTCATGATGAACGCCGTTAAAATTTTGAAAAATAAAAGAATGTGTTCTTGCTGAATTTCATGAAATATACGGTATGAATACAAAAAACAGTTATGTCAAATTATATTCTGGGAATTCTGATGGACTGGAAGAATATCATGCATGATTTTATAGGTATTTATATGTATACATTGATGTCGGAAAGTTTATTTTACTACAAAGATCAGGATAATACTCTGGACTGGGGATGGGTATTGAGAGAAAACCTGCTGTGGCCGAAGACGACAACTGATCCTCTCGAACCTGATTGTCTTTTACATATGATTTTTTTGTAATTGTACGAATGGTTGTGGAATTTTTCATGGTCTATCTTGTTCGAATACAGAGCCTATTGAAGATGATCGATCGGATGAACAAACCGAGGTTGTTAAATCAATAGAAATCAGAAAAACCGTTTTTTAGCATCTTCAAAGCCTTCCCAAGTGTTAAGCGTACACGCTTTCATAAGGGGACTTTTGAAGAATTATTAAGGACCCCAATATATATTCGAAAACACACTAGAACCTTCTGTATGAATTATTCCGCAGTTTGGAATTTTTTCGAATGATTTCATACATTCTAGAATGCTGCTTATACACCAGGTAATTTTATTTCTCGTCAGATTCGTCTTGTACACCAGGTAAATTATAGGTGGTTTGTCATTTCTCGTCAGATTCGTCTGAATACGAATATGGTAGAGAAAATGTGAATCTGTGAATTTTTGGGGTCCAGCATAAGGGGTTACTCATTGAAATTCGGAAATTCAAGATTTGCTGATGAGAATTCTATTAAAAATGTACAATCATTTTCTTTTTTCAGACCGTTTAAAAAATGTGGTATAATATTTTTTTCTTATTTACTCATTCCACAAATGCGTCCGCATCAGATGAAAATATCAAAGTAAAGTTCCTACAAAGTTTTACCAACGATTTATTATTCCAGACTGACGATAATGGTTTCCCAGATCATTCAAAAATTATCAACGAGTTGATGAAAGATAATCCTAAACGTGAAGTGAAGAATTTTCTGCAAGATACCACTGACGAATGTTTCCAAGAAGTTGATGAAGGTGAGTAGAAATAAATATGCGTTCCATTCCAATTAAAAAATAAACTGGTCAATAAAATATGACGCTTCGGAAGGTAACACAACCTGGAGCTAAAATCAAATAGAAATGGCGTAATTTATGATTGCTTACAGTTTTCAGTAGTAATTATGTCTCACTCTAGAAAAGTGATATTTAGGGTGTTTCGTGAGATTGTTCCATGATTTTGGGATATGTATTGTACAGGGTGTCCCACCTAAATGTGTCTCCCCCCTTTATCCCCCTAATTCCACCATCAACAAAATACAGGATGACTGAAGAAAAATCATTTGTTTTCAAATTAAACCATCTAAATTTTATTAGATAATAATATATGAATGATATATATTTTTGAATTCAGAATGACGGGCTTTATCGAATTATGGAAAAAAATATGGATAATTTCATTTGAAAACTTCTTTCCTGAAGCCACCCTGTAATTTGTTGATATAAAGAAAAAGTAAGCACAGATTCATAAAATTCGTAAAAAATATATTCCAGGAAAGTTTTTGAACGACCAAAATAAATATGTTTAGAATGACGAGGATAAAAGGGGGTCACACGTTTAAGTTGGACACCCTTTACAAATTATTCGATTTATTTTTCACAACCGAATGCATGAATTTCTACGTTAGGATGCGATAGCAAAAAAATATTTTTAATAATATTGCTCAGCGATTTCATTCTGGAGTAACGACTTTGATGCCACACCACTGGATTTAGAGGCATTGATTAGGATAATAGCCAATCAGGGAAAAAGTTTCAACAACTTTGATATTGGAAACACTCGTCCATGAAGACATCAGTGAAAACAGGATTAGCAACATTGTCAAAAATAAAATTAATTATTTTTGAGAAAATCGCAAAGAAGTTATGGAACCCAAATGAATGAATTCGTAATAACAGTTTCCCATATCATAACAACGGTTAAAACTCGAAAATGAACAGAATTATATGACTTATTTTCTCCAAAAATATATCTTTCATTTCTTGTTCACAATGTTATACTGATGCTTCTCCTATTGCAAAACAACAAAATATGTATCAATTTCAGATGAGCGACTTATTCAAAAATACAACATTTTTCATGATAAATGTATTTCAACCTACAAAATTCATAGTTGATACGAAAAATGATGTTGTTGATTTAGATTTTTCGATCAATCATATATATGCATCAGTTCTATTTGATCTAAGAAATTGGTGATGCTGAACATCATCTCTTGATTCACAAAATATATGATATTGATTCAAAAATGAATTCGAATATTTCTTATATCATTAGGTCATTTTTGGTGCTTCAATAAAGGCTGACCATTCGGCTGACCACAAACTCTACAAATATGTGTTAGCATAAACTTTTTGAATATGTGTTAGCGTAAACTTTTTGGTCATCTTGCTGCTAACATATATTTGAAAACGGTGAAGATTATGAAGGTGTTTCAGTCGTCTGAAATGAGTCACACTGTATTATTTTTTTTTTAGCAAATGAGTCTGATTCCTGCGAATATTCCAACAAACTAATCATCTGCTTGGCTGAGAAAGGAAAATCGAATTGTGCTGATTGGCCAGCTGGGACCCTACCATTTTGATTTGCTATAATTTGTATTAGAACAATCAATGCGATCTAAGGACTCTTTTTGTAGAATAAATAATAGTTTCTTCCTGGTTTAGGGTCTGTTATACAACATTATATATTTCCAATAATAAATGCTGACATGGTTTTCCACAATTTTTATTCCACACACTCGGTGATATTCCCAACAAACTTCAAGATGAAATAGTTATTTTTGTATCTAGAGCGCGAAATGCTACTTTGGTGATCGAGATCTGATTTTTTTAACGAGGCGTAGCCGAGTTGAAAAAATAGTCGAGATGACCAAAGTATTTCGCGCTCGAGTTGCAAACAAAATTTTTTCTACATACGTCAAAAAATATAGTTCTAAAGTAAAAATATGCTTAACTTGATATAAAAAATAGTGTTGAACTGGCTTGAAAGGTCTTCCCCTATCCTCCCTAGGTACGCACGATGTCCCACGAACATAATAGGAATTTCCTTTCATGCGCTCCAAGAGAAAAAACAAAGTTATTGTTGAACATTTAGAAATAAATGATTTTGTGGATGTCTGCTGGATTGAGGATCATAAAGTTGAAATATAAATATCTCATATATTTTACATAACAATGCGCGAAGTTGGTACTTCGCGCACTGTTTTACTTCGCGCATTGTTTTGTGCAAGGAATTATGGTAACGTAGGAAACTGAAAAAAAGTGTCACTTCGCAATTTGTTATCAATGTGCGAACCTTGTCATTTTTTGACATTTGTAGAAAAAAAATATGTGCACTGAGATTTCTTCGAGAATCCCCAATTATATTCGTATGATTTTCTTTTCGACGAGATACATCAAATATCCGATTAAAGTGCAAATTCTTCATCAAGCACTTTTTTTGTAAATATTTTTGTAATTTTTTTGAAAAATTCGTATATCGTTATTTTGTAGCTCACAGTGAACTCCAAAAGAGTCTTGTATACGGGGTTAGGGGACCTATAGCTTACAGTGGAATTTGAATTCAGAAAGTTCAATTATCCATATATATATATACAACTAGAATATAAAGCGACTTCATTTTGCACCTCACAAGTGCATAAAAGTAGTAGTTTTACTAGTTTTATAAGATTTTTCGATCTGATTATTCTTGAAAGTCTATATGAATTGGAACCAGTTGATATTAGTGTGTTGATTCATTCTCGGCCACAATAAGTAAGAAAAAACATTGATGATGCGGCTAAAACTAAGTTGAAACACATTCAAAATACATTTTATAATATATGGATGAATGTATAGAGAATGAGAAAATATTCCAGAATCTATGAAAATATAATGAGAACCGTATTTTGAAATTATTATGAAAAAGTATTTCAATTTTTCTATGTCTCCAATAAAACCGTAAGAAAATCGAAATATAGTCCAAACATTCACATTGTAAATTTCCGAAGGCTGTTGTAATGACCGTCTGGATAATCAATTATTTTCCCATCTAACAACTACGGCTATGACACGGAATTGTGCTCCCTCCACTGCCACTCTTTTTGATAAAACCATGAGGTACAATATAATGTCTTCAATTTAATTTTGAATGCCATCAATTCCATTTCCGTACCTGATATCACAATGTCTCCATTGTGTTATCATTTCGCAAAATCTCATCTCATATGAAAAGTCAAATTTCAAACAATGAAAGTTCTATCTATTCATATAATAGGTGAGCATCATTTCTCAAGGAAAAATCAGATGGCTACTAGCCGAAAAAAAAAATCGCAGTTATCTGTTACAGTCGTAGAAAAAGTATAGTGTATAACTCGCCTACTGCTCATGCTGCGAAGTTCATTCTCGTTGAAAATAACTATCAATTTGTGCTCGTTAAACAATATACAAAACCCACGGAATGTCAATGAATATTCTTCTTATGACAGCTCAGTATTTGAAAAACTTTCAATTTGAATTTCATGCTGCAAACTTCAAACTCGTGAGAAATTATTCGCGAGATTCACGAAGTGGGCGACATCTGGGTTACATAATACGAACTTCAAACTGGGGGAAAACAAACTGTTGTCTATGAATGAAGTGCATAGACTACATTGCATTCAGCTTGCTGTAGCTGTAGTCAAACTTGTCAATGACATAAAGTGTTGGCACTGTTGGTAGTGATTGTAGTGATGATGGTTGAGTTGGTTAATTTTTTTACATTATTAAATTTTTATTAGTTTACTGAACAGTGAACGAGTGAGGAATTGGAGATAGTTCAAACAATTCGAACTAATTATGACGAGCAAATCAATTGACATATAAAAGAACAGCTACAACATGTTTACAATACCCAGATTGTCCTGCTTTGCATGAACAAATACAAATCCATTGTTCTACAGGAGTTCCTCTGGACCCCAACTTCAATTTTACTTCATGTGGGGAAGATTTCATCGCCGAAGTTTGTAGACGAAGTGCAAAAAGGTGTCTTTTGTTGAAGTCTTCTGCCTCACACAAAATCACATGATTAGCACGGAGAACTGCTTCTCCTTCCACTACTGGTCGGCTTTTTCCGTCTAAATAGAGCAAAATATCTGCCAAAAGAACATCTACAACAGGCTTTATTAGCGTTTTCGATCGAATATTGACAATTAATGTCAAGAAATTTGAAAACTTATCACTCTTATCAGTACACAAGCTAATGGCACTAATGGGTGAGTGAAGATTGAGTTTGTTTTCCCCCAGTTTTGACGTGGCTACATTCATTATTCCAAAAAATTTGGAATAATAACATACTTTCACCATGACATATTTTTGTCGTTTGTATTAGGAGAAACAAATTACCTCACATTCCGTCTCATAACACATTTGCATATAGCCCTGATATTCGCTTCTTATTATCTCCTTAGCTTGCGTCTCTTGTCCATATACAATAGTTTTCAAATGATCTTCTTCTCTATCAGTATTGTCCATAATCATCTCTCTTTCTCTTTTATTACAATTCAATAGTTCCTCTAAATCATTCTGATACTCTAGCTTCAGCTTTTCCACATAGCGATTCTGATTATCCAAAATATCGTCAATGTGAGTTGAATGCGAATTGAAGTTTGTGAGATATACTTCTTCGGCTTTTTCGAGATCTCTCATCAATCTCTCTATTTTTTCATTCTTATTTTTCATTCGATCTTCCATCCACTTCTTCAAATGCTAAAATGAGCATATTATACGGGGTATTTCAAATATTGTAATCGGGAAAATTCCAATAGGCGATTTAACTTGGAAAATTGAAAAAAAAAGTTAACTTGAACTTGTATGTTGTGGAAACTTATTTTCGATATACAAGATGATTGTTTTTTATTCACATTACTCAAAACCTCTCTTGACTGATTTTCATCAGTATCAGCAAGTTTGTTTGTGATTTGAAAATGTATGTTTTGACCTAACTAGGTTCACCGTACTCATACCAGTGCGACACTACAGATGGTTATCTGATTCATATTTATGATGGTAAAAATCATGGTGCTCTGTTGGTTTCTTCAAAGTTCCATATTTCATTCGATTCAACAATAGAAGATGCAGTTCTCTTGTTCCATGAGTTTTTCAATATGAATCTGAATTCGAATGAAGGTTCATCGTATTCATTGATAGTCAAAAACTATCATAGTTTCAAAATAATGTCAATATACTGTATCTCGGAAAATAAGCTCCATATCATATGAGTTTATCCAAACTATATTGTTTTCATTTCTGCGACTATCAATTTTTCATGATTGGAATTCGAAACACCCCGTATAGATGGTTGAAGATCCTAAACTCGAGTAGATAGTAGATACGTTCGTATACCTCAATGTTTTCCCTCATTTGTTTACATTTAGATTTTCGCATAATTTGGTGCCAGTTTTGGTTGATCTTGGCGATGTTCAATCTTGTGAAGGCCTCCTCTCTTTTGATTTTTTTCTAGAATACAAAAAAAAACGTCATACATAATGATTTACAAATCCATGGGCTTTAACTAAGTGACCCAAACTCTTATTGTTTTTCAGATGGAACACCCTGTATTTTTTTAATTAACGAATTATTATTCTCAATTCTACTATTCTACTATTCTCTGAATGTACTAGTACTTGGTATCTGTTTATGACGCACTTGATATTTGACCTATCTTCTTGAAAAAAAAATATTTAGCATGCCGATTTTTTTTTATTTGTTGGTAGGTAATGCATTTATCTTAAAAAAATAAAGAGGTGAACATTTTTTCAAAGCCTCCTTGATGGTGGTGGAATAACTCGAACCATGATTTATTCTTAATTTTTGACTCACCCTGTGTGTTAATTGAGTAATGGTATACAAAGTACTTACACCCTATAAGAAAGAGGCTTCTTTTGCGAGCATTTTGTTTTTTTATTCATTGATTTATCTCTAAAGTTTTCCGAATTACAGTTTACTTGCTGATACCTTACGCTTATCCCACAAATTAAATTTATTGAAGGATCAGAGTACTCAAAATTGATTGGGTTGTTCTCTGGTAGGATCACATTGTATTTAAAAAACATAAAATGCCTCAAATAAATCCTGAACAAGTAGCAAGATTAGTTGCGTTAGTAAACGATGGGTGTAGTAAACGTTACGCCGCTCGTGCAGTGGGACTTCATGAAGCAACTGCTCGTAGAGCAATCCGCAAGTACGAACAAACAGGAAGCACCGCTCGGAGGGTCGGTTCTGGTCGCCCCCGAAAAGCTTCTCCAAGAGATGATCGCTTCTTGAGATTGCGGATTTTACGGAATCGATCAAATACTGCGGTAAATGTTCAGCAAGATCTTCGCCAAATTCGTGATGTTGCAGTAAGTGAGCAGACGATATGTGGACGTCTTAAAGGAGTTAATTTAGAAGCTAGGAGACCTGCAAAAGGTCCCAAATTATTGCCCGAACATCGTGCTGCTAGAAGAAATTTTGCTGAAAATTATGGGCAGTGGAATATTCCTGAATGGTCGAATGTCTTGTTTACGGATGAGTCAAGGTTTTGCCTTAACATGGTGGATGGAAGAAAAAGAGTGGAAAGACACCCCTTCATGTTTTCCCGGTGAGGCAGTCGATAAATGCCCAAATTTACATTGACATTTTAGAGCAGTATGTCTTACCTTATGCAGAGTTAGTGGGCAATAATTTTATATTGATGCAGGATAATGCCCGACCACACACCGCAGCAATAGTGCGAAACTTCTTAGACGCTACTGGTATTACCACATTACAATGGCCTGCGAGAAGCCCCGATATGAATCCTATAGAAAATTTGTGGGATGAATTAGGGAGAAGGGTACGTTCTCGCGAGAGGTCTCCGGAAAGTCTCTCAGAAATGGCAGATGCATTAGTGGAAGAATGGAATCGTATACCAATGGAAACGATAAGCAACTTAATTTCCAGTATGCCTCGTAGATTGGAAGTTCTCAGAGTTGCTAGAGGAGGCAATACACGGTATTATGCAGTCATCCCAATTTATAATTTTGTGTTAAATAAAAATGTTTTTTAAAATTATTGGTATCAGTTTATTCCATTAGAAAATTGTTTCTCGATAAATTCAGATAGTTCGTAATCTGCAAGGATTCAGCAAAAAAAGCTGTAATTCGGAAAATTTTAGAGATAAATCAATAAATAAAAAAACAAAATGCTTGCAAAAGAAGCCTCTTTCGTATAGGGTGTGAGCACTTTTTATGCCATTACTCAATTAACAGACAGGGTGAGTAAAAAATTAAGAATAAATCAAGAAGACATTGTGAATATGAAATATGCAATTGTTCAAAAGCTAATGCAATCTCTCAGAAAATGGACTATGGCATGACGTCGATTTGAAATGACAGATGAGTGCAATGAAGATTGTATCGTACTAGTGCAATATAAAATCACTTTTTCTGTACTAAAAATAGTTCAATAAAGGTTTGTTTTTTGCATGAACGTAGAAAAAGCCATGAAAGAAATATTTATAGATTTTCTCCTTTTCTTCCTCCATACTCTTTGTTTTCCACATTTTTGGCATCTTGGAATACCGAAGCAATAGTGTATTTGATATTACTGATGGTAGTCATATAAGAGGTCGAAAAATGTAACATTTTGATCCAAAATTGTATCAAAGTTCCAAACATAATACAATGTACAGGGTGTTCCAATGAAAATTTGAAAACTGGAGCCATTTTCTGGTGGAACCATTCCAACCATCAGGTATAAGACATACTTTGCCATGGATATAAACGAATTGAACATTCAATTCTCTCTCAAATGCTGTATGCAACCGCCCACTAATATTTTAGAAGATATATCACTAACCACACCCGGTATAATCAGCGGAAAATTTGCGGATTTTCATGGTTTAGCATTTTGTGCGTTTGGTCCAGAATACAACAAATCAGTACGGTACCCCCGTACGGTATCTCTTGACCTGAACTCGTTTTTTATTGGAAGTATTCATACCTTCATGAAAGTAGAAATCAGTTGCTCTTTTCTCCTTTTTGCTTCTTCCTCGATATCAGCTCTATGCTGCATATACCTGGCCCTTTCTTCATCTGACATCTTGGCAAGCTTGTTCGCCAAAGTTTTCTTCTTTTTACCAGCCATTTCGGAATAATTTTCGAGAATGCCTCACTTGTATCTTATCCAAACTGACTGAGCTAGTCGCTAGTCGTTAACAGAATACCATAAAATTCTATCCATGGAAAAAGAAAACGAGGTTGCTATGGTAAAATACAATAGTTGCTTAGGAACCATTTCATTTCATCGATTCCTGACGTTTTTTATAGAATTTTTCATTGAAGGAAGATATTACCGTTGTAGTGATAAAAATATGCCTAATTTTTCACCCAGATCAATTTTAGAAGACCTCAATATGGACGATGAGTTCATGGAGGTGTTTGATAGATATAAAGAAAGAGAATTGGATCCAGCAGAAATGGATCTGAAGATACAAGCAGATAGGGTCATTTATGTGATCAATAGATGTTTAGCAAAACTCTATATATTGGTGAGTACTTGAGTTACTTTCATTCTGATCATCCACTGATATTTGATATATTATGTAATTATGTAATGTAATATGGATATTCTGTTGACAAACATACCTAATGATGTACAGGGTGTAAGGAGATTAGAAGGCAATAGTCATATTGCACCAACGTGATTTAGGTCACTGAGAGGCTTGCTCATTTCATTCACCTGATAGGATTTTCAGCATTCCAATTAAGGATTGAGATCGATCGATTTATAGGTATATATTTATATTTCATAGGCCCATCTTCCGTTCCTACTGAAAAATGATGCCGAATTGCTTCGAAAATATATGAAACCTATGGAAGTGCTGTTTGTGTTGGAACTTCTCAATAGCTGGGGCACGAATTTCAACACAAGTAGATATGAAAAGACGTTTGAATATTATGAATATCTCAAAGAAATTGATCCGAAAAATGGAAACTACATACCATTGAGCACTAAACAAGTGAGTATATAAATCATATACATGGTGTTTCAAAAATTATCTCTCATCAGCGATTTTTTTGTGAGCTGAATGAATTTCATAGGGGCATAGGCATAGGCATAGGCATAGGGGCAGGAGTGGGGTAAATTGACAGATATACAGAGATGATCCAGAAATAGCAAATTTCCAAAAAAGTGAGCGGTTGAAATCAATTCATTTTTCGACATTTCGTCTTATATGAATATCAACATCGATTCATGATAATTCCATTTCTCGAATCAGACTTACAAATATACACAAGATGATCGAGTTTCCATGAAACCGCATGCACCCGTTCTAATATTCATATCCATCGAATGATGGGAATACCGTGGAACTTGGTGAGGAAGTTGATAATTCGTGATGACAATACTTTCTGCAAATACATGAAGTATACAGGTTGGTTGTGAAAATAGAAGTGGGGTTTTCTTGGAGTTGAAGAATTCAGGAATTCTGTCCATTGTGAAATGCCTCTAGTTCTCGAGTATAACAACAGCTTCTAACTGACGAAGCCAACAAATCCAGAATAATAACAATAACGAGATGGATAATCAAAGCACGCAATGGTCACCTGAAGACCATGCTCAAATTATTTCATCATAAAATAGATATAGCATATTAAATCATTTTTGGAAAACAATGTCTACATGAAAATGTTCAATCCCCTTTCAAAATCCTACAGACCATCACAGCAAGTACTACAGAAGTAAAAATCAGTGAACATTGTCAATATACTTGATCTCGTGTGTGATATAGACGATGAAAAAAAATAATAATGATGAAATATCATTGAAAGGTGACGGGATTGGCGCAGTGGACGAGCGGAGGTCTGAGTTCGAATCGCAGCTAGGGCAAGAATTTTTTTTAATATTATATCAACAAATAAATTGAAGAAGTACATGCGGATGACTTCCGCAAACGTCTGCAAAAATATCAAAACGATTGTGCCTACTACTTTATGTTTCTCATAAGTATTTGCTTTATATCAGTATCAAGTTTATAGGCGAGTAGGCGAGTCTTGGAACTTCGATATTTAGCAATTTTTATATAATATTGTGATGAATTCTAAATCCTGTTGAGGAATAGTAATGTATATAGTTATATTTAACTAGGTTCTCGATATAACTTCGAGTAATGTGTCATCAGGACATGAGAGACTGTTTTATCTCTATCAATCATATAACATTCAATAATTCTAACAATTTCAGTCAGATACTACATTGAGACCATCAGCAGCGCCGAAAGACGCTTTCGAAGCGACTGATCCATATATTGCCAACATGATCGATTTGCTATTTTATAACAAATGCCTGCAACCTGTTATCAAGACTGCTAAGAACCCCAGAGTGGATAGAAATATCATGAGTATTATCAAACAGTTCCAAGAATTGAGAGAAATTGCGAAGAAAACGCTTTACGTCACGGGAGATGAAGAAGAAGCATTGGATAAAGAATTGAGAAGGGCTTTCAAATCGAACGATTTATTGGCAGCTATTATTGATGGTACGTCAAACTTTACTATCTGGTAGTTTTTATCATCGACAATTCAATGATTATTGATATCAAATGTGTTGGGCATAACTCAATCCAATGTATAATGTGCGTGGATTTTTTTGGTGGAAAGTTTTTTTCAGCAGAAATGAAAAAGCACTGTTTGTCGTTGATCATTTCAGGAGATTGAACGTATGGACCAATGTAATGAGAGTAATTTAGGTTTGAAATGACTATTTTGGAGTAAGAGTAAGATACAATTGTATTCATGGACAATACCCTTACTGATTGTCTTTTCACCCCAAGAAACATTATTGTTTATAATAGGGATATATATAACGAAATATACATTCAACATAATAAATCGAAACAATAATGATTAGACAATTATTGTTTTTCATAAAGAAAAAATATGATTAAATATAAAATAAAAATATTATAATCCATTACAAGTAATCCAATTGTGAATCATTTGGAGATATGGAATCAAAGTTCATTGAGCAGATATTTCTTTAACAGCTCAGATGAAGAACAGCTAAGACAACAATAATACCTAGACATTGTTTATTATATTCTTCTACTCTGTTGTAACCTTTGAATCTTAAGTGCTTATATTAATGATAATAATTCTTTAATGCACCTCATATTGGAGTATTGACGAACATATGAGTTTTGTTCAGCAAAGGGTATAGTAACTTCGAGTGTATTGCAATGACCTTTGTTTATATGCTGAACCCTTAAAAGAAGGGATCTTGCATCTCTTATCAGTTTCCTCGTGGAACTCTTAGAACCAATGAAAGTATTTCACCAATGAACGGTGATGAAAATGTATATGAATATGTAACACATATCTTGCACCCAGTATCTCGAAACTATCCCCCATACATAGAAACTTTTTCAAATAAGATTTATCGATTGTTGGAATTGTTCTATAAATTGGTCCACCCTATATGGGAATATGTTACCATTCCATTTTCGAGAATACGTTCTCAAAATTATGATGGAAAATATCATATCTCACTTCACTGACAACATTGCTGAACCAAAGTTCAAATATCAGTCAAACCCTTTTCCAGATTTGAAGGAAGAGTTGGAAAAACAAAGAAAGGAACTTGGAGATCAACTCAACGAGAAAGTGAAAATCTTCGAAATGTACCACGAGAAAATGGAAAATATTAAAGAAGATTTTCAGCAACAGTATTCCAATATTCTGTGAGTCAAAATATGATTTGTCTGCGATCAACCCACAAATGTATTTCTTCTTCAAAACTAGCTCTCGAAGTTGACATTCCTACCACAAAAATAAGGAACTGAGAATGAGTCAGCTGGAGAGATTTATTATTATGATTATTTAGAATTCTCTCCATTTCAATAGCAGAGATGAAAGAGCTGTTGAATATTGTCTATTGAATCAAAATTATGATGATGCTTGAGACACTAGCTCATTTAACTGCATCAAAATCTCGAATTTTTCGTGTAGATAAAATGGCACATGATTTTAAAATATAGGTTTACCTCGAAATTAGCAAATATTTGGATGTTGAAAATTGTTGATTAGTGCAATTATCACTTTATTGGAATGATAGAATAATCTCTTCAAGAAAACTTATATTCAGAATAAGAAAATAATATTTACTCAATGTTTGTAAGTATACAGTGTGTATGCTTAAGTGCGCACCACGGAAAAAGTTTCAGTATTTCAAGTTTTTAATATTCATCAACGAAGAAAGATTCCCAAAATATCCTCGACCAATTTCTTCACATTTTCAGCATCTCTTCGAGAGATCTCATGGTCTTTCGAATAATTTGTCCATCATATCTGAATCTGTAACTATCATCTCCCTCAGCTCTTCTCTGGTGTTGACTTCAGTCTGATATGCCAAAAGTCTCATATGTCTCCATAGATCATAGTCTGATACTGATGTGAGATCAGAATACCGATACGAGGCCAATAACAATGAGGACCTCCATACGATCTATCCAGCGATTAGAGAATTGGGTGTCTAGGTATTCTCTCACTTCTATTGAGTAATGTGGAGGTGCCCCATCCCGTTGAAAGAAAATAGTTTTTTCAATCCATTTTCTTACATTCAACACAGCCCTCTTTTTTAGTGCTTTCCGAATCGTGAAAACACCAAACTCACAAATTAATTCGCTGATTGAGAGAGTTCACATGCAATGAAATCATATCCAATGGTTCTTCAAAAGTTCCTCTTTGTAGTATGAGTTTGATTGATTGCCTTTATTACCCCAAGAAACATAGTTGTTTATAATAGGGATACATAAACAATATACATTATGAAATTATAATAAGATTGTTATTTCGTTCGAGGATTCGTTCGATGGTTCAATGTGGTCCTTCGACTATACTGAACCATCGAACGATCCTCGAACGAAGTAACATTGGTACATCGAGCCGGATTGCAGAGAAAAATGGATCAGCAGTAGCAGCCAGCATCCAGCCTGTGCGATAATAGTTAGCAGTCAACAACTTACTGTGAGTTCGTTTCATGTCGCTTCCTTATTTTCCTATCCTTACCGACATCCTTGTGATTCGAACATGCGTGTAGTTCATTAGTTTTTGCAAAAAATCGTAAAGGTAGCTGAAAGCTTAACT